GCAAATTATTATTATAAATGGTTTCACAACCTTTGAGACAAACTTTTTAGGAACTTCTGCCTATAATAGTTACACACATCTCAGTTGAGAGATGTGTAAAATTTCCATAATCGTATCTCCTCCCATTAAAAGGCAGGCTTCCTCAATACTACAGACAGTGAGGATGTCAGCTGGACTCAGCTGAATGTGATCAGTATGACTTCTGGCTCAAATGTAAGGGTGGAAAAGCTGAAACTTATTCCCACTGATCAGACTGGAAGTCCTAACAGTTCTAACAGCTCAATATTAATATTTGTCTGGAATAAAAACAGGCAAATTTGAAACAATGACTAGTAACACTGATCAGTCAGCTGCTATGCTAAATTCTTGTGCACCTCTGCAAGTATCTTCAGCTCTAAGCACAGTATCTTGCCTTCAACAGAAGAAAAAAAAAATAATTTGCAACACGAATAAATCCTTACAATGGGCTAAACTGAAATTCTTATCCTCATTTCAAACAACTATTACCAGGAACCAGTAATCAAAAGTGGAAAATATCCATTCTGGTGATTTGTACTTTTCCACATAGTTCTGCAGAGACGCCCAAGAGCTTCCATTTTTAATGCTTCCTTTCTCCTACACTGAAGTGACATTTTCCATTATTTGATTATTCTAAATATGACTCTACTTAGAAGATAAACAAACAATGGCATTTTTCTCCCTAAGGATGGTCCTAACAATAAAACAGGCATCCTTCATTACAAGCCTAGACTTATACATACAAGCCCCAGAGAGAATACAAAAACTCTTGAGTCAAAGCTTTTAGATCAATGCTTAATTCCAGACATACTGGTTACTCCTCACTGATTTCAAGTTTACTCCTATGCTTGAAAATAAATGTACCTGTACAATATCTTACAACAATAAGCTATCGTTTAACATCCAGGCTCCTATACCACACATTCTCTTAACAACAGCACCGAACAGGGGAATTGGATCCTGTCAAAATTAAAAGTCTGTAGTGCATTGCATCTGCATTCTTTTCTGTAACCTAGATTGCCTCAGACAATTACCAATCATTCTTAAAAGATTCAGGGATTGTAAGTATGGAATAGCCTCAGTCATTTCCATAATATTCTTCACAATGAAAACTTATCAATAATTGGGCTTTTTGTCTTATTTCATGACTCTGCACTCCCTTGCACCAAGGGGAGCACAGGGGGAGTAAGCCAAAGCAAAGGAAGCCTTTCAAAGTAGAGGCAATTGCTGTAAGAAACAGAAGGGATTATTAGTGAGAAGAATTATTAAGAGTTTCTAGAATATCCTGTTCCTTTTTTCTGTTTGTTTGCCTGCTCCTTCTCCTTGCAGCAAAGAAACATAATATTCAGTGTGACAAGAAATCATGGTTTACTTGTGTAGTTCCCCTTAATAATGTGATTTAGTACTTCCCTATTGTAAAAGCATTCAGATTGCACATATTGGAATTTCAGTAAATATTTACATCAATTTACTGTTTTAACGTGCTCACAGGTCAGTGGCTAGTTTTTCTTGAATGCTTTAGCAAATATTAGTCCCTGCTGCACGCAATCTATACTAGCAGCATTATGATGGCTGGTTTTGTATCCACATACTGTCCCACCCCAGCAAGGCGACTAAAAACATCCTACTCATCTCATTTAGCTTCCTACATATTACATTACAACACCACACAAACACGGGAAAGGGTCTGAATCAGCAGTTCAGGACTATAGCAACTTCTTCCATCATGGAGTCCAAAATTCTACTGCCCCAAGTAAACCTCATCATAAATGATCAAGGTCCATATTTAACACAATCAAGCTTCTGACTCCACCACTTCCCACTGCAAGCCTGTGGCACAGCTTCCTTCTGTCCATTCAATTGTCCGTTTTATTCTCAGCGAGTTCATAACAATTTATTCTTAACCCATCATGAGACATCAGTATCCATCTTTTTTATTTTCATCTGTAGCTCTGCTTTCATGCATCACAGAATAGGACTTAGATTTTGGAGGGGAAACAGTACAAAATTGGTGTGACAGATGCTCTATAAAGAAGTAAAACATTGATGTTACCTTTTTCATTTTCTTTCAGCAGGATTCAGGTGGATTATCTCCACCAAACAAAAAATGAGTATTTTAACCCTTCTTTATTAAATTATGTCTTTGCTTCCACTTACAATATGTATTAACACATCAAAGAATTTATGAATCAGATTGGTTAAATAGAAGATTGTAAGTTTCTAAAAATAAGTAAACAAAAAGAAATGAAAAAGCATCCTCTGATCACAGATTGACTTGATTTATATATTTTCTTTGGGTATTTCTGAGACTTCCAGTGATACAGTACTGGAATAAACTTTTGTTTTATGTATTGGAAATTTACACTAGTATTGCACTGATGTTAGTAACAGCAACATACTCTTCTAATATTCAGATTTTCTTAATGCATTATTTGATACAGACTGTGCACAAATAAGAAAAAATTAGCATGACAGAACATCCTTAAGCATTTCTCTAAATGCATCAGAAATTACTATTTAATCCATAAGCATAAATTCTATCCATATGGATAATGCCTAACGCTATTAAAGTTCTCAAAGGAAATGTGACTACACAGTATCAATGTCACCTATTAATAAGAATGTCCCAGAGACACACTTTCAAATGCTCAAGTAATTCGCACATCTCTGTACAATAAATAAAAGTGTACTGTATTTTTCTTTAGCAATCTTAGTCAACTACATCTTCACAAAGCATTGCATTGCAGCAACATGATGTCAAGTCACAGATGTTATGAAATGCAACGCTTATAGTGTGTATTAAGTGGGGATCTACTACACTGTTTTGCTATACCTCAAAAAAGCACAGAATTTCACCATGAAAATAGAAAATATAGAGCTGATCTAACTCTGGCTGAAGACATAAAGTAGGAGCTGAATCAGGCCCTTTCAGACTTACTTTTAAACTATGCAAATACAGATAGTTTCACTTTACCATGCCAGCTAAGAAACCATTTCCAAGGGGACACAGGAAATATTAAATAGAACAATTGTTATCATTATATTACCCATAATTAAACTTCTTAAAAGAATAACACACCAATACATACACTGCTGCACACAGAAAGGAGTGGCATTTGGGGAGAATAAACCAGGTATGGTACACTTTATGTACCATTACATAAATCAAAATCAAACCACAAAATACGTTATAAAAACCTTTGATTAGATATAATAAAACTTATCTGTATGACAACACAGTTTTATCTAAGACTACCTTTGATTTTGTGCATTACATATAGGATTAACAGATTTGCCAAATTTTGCTCTTATCTGCAAGGAATAGCAAGTTCTGGAATTAATGACAGAAAGCTTACTAGTTCTACATTATGTTTCTTCAGGTGATATATCTCCTTAACACTGTCAGCTAGAGTAGACGATGGGGGGAGGCGGGGGGGAAGGAAGGGACTAAAAAATTCCTACATTCTACAATTCATGTAAGGGCCATTTTTGTTACAAATTCTGATAGGAGAATATTTTCATTGTGAACTACCCATTTCTAAATAAAATGACCTACTGTGCCTTCTGTGACACTCTCTCTCCTTCACTAGAACATATAAGTACAGGAAAGAAAACCATATGACTATTACCACCCAAATATCTTGTATAGATAAGAAATCCTCAACAGTTCTTGATATCATCTTTCCAGACAACCTGACTTCACAGCCCACAGATTTTCTCCTTATAATTTCCCCTGATGATGACACACATTCCAGTGCTTCGATCAAGCTAACAGTGGGCTCTTACAAGTGCGTGAGTGACTGGGTATTGCAGTGCCATATGCTTGTTGGTGCCCTACTCACCCACATTATACCATTATACTTCAATACATTTTTCATAACATGTTGTTGATTCATCCAGAAATATCAGTTCAGCAGACGATCAGCAAGCACAAAACCAGTGGAAAGAAGTCAGGGGGAAAGCAGGCTTTAAATAAACATGATCTTAGGCGAACAGTACTACCTCTGCCGCTCGCTGACCTAGCAGGCTTGCACCTCCCTTCTCCCGTTTTCCCAAATACACCTGTCAGCAGGAGCAGGGGCCGGGGAACTCGGACCCCGGCGGGGCGGAGGATGCGCTGCAGTCGGAGGCAACACTCGGACTGTCACGCCAGCGGCAGACCCGGCCGGAGCTACTCCCGCGCCCCTCAGCCGAGGCTGCCATTGCCGTGCTCCGGCGACCGCCCGGCAGCGGCTCTCCCCGAGGGCGCCCGGCGGCACCCGGGAACCCCGCTCCCGGCCGCGGCGAGCGGCGGGCCGGCTGCGCGGACAGCTCCCCCCGCGCCGCCGCCGCCGCCTTCCCCACACGACCGGCGGAGAATCCACCGGGAACTTTCTGGCCCGGAGGCACCCGCCAGGAGCCGCAGGCCCGCTGCCGCTCGCCCCCCGCCCGGGTCTCGGCACGGCTCCCCTCACGCCTGAGGGAACCCCCCCCGCCGCACCGCCCGTCCCGCCGCGGCCCGCGCTCGGCTCGGCTCGGCTCGGCCCGGCCCGGCCCGCAGTGCCGCCGACCCCGCTTGTGCCTACTCACCACAGCTTCCTCTTTAAGGGCATCAGACTGCCCCTGTTGGAGGCGGTCACCCCTATGGCCATCTGCAAGACAGTCAGGTATTTCTGATACTTCATTTTGCCGTCGCCCCCCCTGTCCCTGCCTCGTGCCCGCCGCCGCCACCGACAGAGTCTCTCCAGCCGCTGCATGCAATCATCAAATTTTTATTTCCAGGCATCTGCCGTCCTTGCGTCGCGCTTCTTCCCCTCCTCCTCCTCCTGCCGCGCTCCCTCTCTCTCTGCCCCCCCGGCTCACGCTCTTCTCCTCCTCCTGCCGCACTCCCTCTATCTCTGCCCCCAGCTGACGCTCTCCTCCTCCTCCGCCTCCCGCCGCGCTCCCGCTATCCCCGCTCCAGCTGACGCTCTCCTCCTCCGCCTCCCGCTGCGCTCTGCCCTCCCCCGGGCCCACGCTCCTCTCCTCCTCCTCCCGCTGTCGCACTCCCTTTCAGCCCCCCGCACCTCACTCTCTGCCCTCCGGCTGGCTGCCGCGCCTGCCCTCTCCCCGCCACGGGGCTGCGGGGACCCCGCTCCTCCCGGCCCTGCCCCGGCCGCTCGCTCCCCGTTCCGCCGCCTCCTCACCTGCGCTGTCTCCTGCCGGCGGCCGCCGGCTCCCCTCGCTAGGCCCTCGCTGGGGCCGGGGCCGGGGCCTCGGCCTCGCCCCGCAGGCCGGGCCGTTCTCCCCCTTCCCCCCTGTGCGAGCGGGCCTTCCCCGCCATCTCTGCCCGCTCCCGGGGCGCTCCCGCCCCGCTCCCTCCCCAATTACCTGGGGTATCCCGCCCATGTTGCGCAGCTGCTGCTCTGCCCTCCCGCCATCAGAGGGGCGCCATGCCGCAGCCCGGCTGTCGCGCAGCGGTGCCTTCTCACTGGCATCGCCTCTAATCCCATTAGCGCCTAGAATAGCCCCATGTTATTTTAATCATCTTTTCCCTCTCTCTCCCCCGCCTCCCGGCTAACAATGTCGGTGTTGTGGGTTAGCGCTAACAGAGCTGCGGAGGCAAACGCCTCGTCACCTGCTGGAGCGGCCCTGTGGAGGCGATGAGGGTGAGGTGAGAATGAAGGTGAGGGTGAGGATGAAGATGAAGGTGAAGGTGAGGGTGAGGGGAGGTGTGGGGGCGGGCGGGACAGAGCTGCAGCAGCAGCTCTTCCCATCAAGCCTCCCCCAGCAAAAGCAGTGAGGGAGGTGGGCATGTGTGCACCGGCACTGGCAGTAACCTCTGAAAAGCCTACTGGGGCTACAGGGAACAGAAGACAACCCCTTTTTTTTTTTTTTTTTTTTTTTTTTAATTATTCCCTGTGTGTTTGACAATCAGGTGGTGCTTAAGTCAAACTAAAAGTATTAACTGGTTTTAGGGAGGTGCCCACTTTCTGGATACTTCAGCAAAAACACCTAAATACGTAACTGTGTGGTGGCCTTAGGTGTGACACAATTATGTTACAACTTTAATCTATTTTGTGTCTTCCTCCTCAAGCTCCGCACTAAGAGTACTAGAAGACCACAGCATTTGTCAAGTGCTTTTCGAATTAATTCTAGAACACAGTACAATACGATCAGAGACCCTCCTCAATGCAAACATCCCTGAAGTGAAGGGTAGTGCTTAGCTGACACATTGATCAATAGTGGTGAGAAATACTTTGGCTAGAGATATCCTGTTTAAGCTTGTAGATATTTTGCAGAATGCAGGTATGAACAAATTCATGCTGAAGTGACAACTTTTCATTGAAATGCTGTAATCTAAATAGTATGAATTGTAATACTTACCCAGAGTTGAGGTGCTAAGGTATCACTGTGAGCTAGGAAAAATACTGTGAACATCATTGTTGCTTTATGGCTCAGAGATCAGCATTTCAGTGATTTTTCTTTTCTTTTTGTGTGTCATCTGTACCTCAGGACTGTAGTAGGCTACATTCTACCTAGGCCTGTTCCTTACATAGGAAGCAGAGGAGATAAATATATTACTTAGAAACACAACGGATTTTAATTAGAAACATAATAGTTGTATTACTGTAGTTAATGAGATGGATGGCTTTGCATTTTCAGCCAAGAAATCTGAGGTGTATTCAAATGTCCTGAAATTCTGTGTCACAAACGATTTAAAAAATTCAGGTGTGAACTTGATGCCCAGTATGAGCCTGTACAGCTCTCAAGATACTGATTATGGGTTCTTTGTCTTTGGAGACATCAAGCATTAAAAGCAATGAGGGATGGCTAAATTGAAGTGATTGGGAAGGCTAAGGAGGAGGAATTAATTTTTGTACTTAAATTATGCTAGTAGTATACTAACTGGAAAGTCTATATCTTCTATCAACCGAAAATCAGGTCAGTTTGAAAACCTGTAGAGATCTTTGTCTTAAAAACAAAAACTGTAAAACTAACACATTGCTTTCTCCTTCTGTGTATCTAGTCATCAGTAGCTGACTGAAAAAACTCTTGTTGCCCACACAAGTTATAAGAGAGTAAGTGTGGGCTGAATTTTATTCTCACCATCATTTGTAGAATGCTAGCTACATTGTAATTGAAATATTCATTCACACTTGTGCAATCCGATTAAGAAAAACATTTATACCTTGAAATGGTAGGAAATGCTGACTAAAAGAATGATGAAACTCTATTAGTTTGAATGTCACATTTTAATTTGAATGTTATACCTGTTAGTTAGAGAAATACATGTTATTCTTTGGTTGTAGTGATAGAAATTTCATAGATAAGACAATCAAAGGATAAAAGGGAAGCAAAGTTTATTTGAAAGCTGATAAACCTGGAAGAAGCAGGTAAACTTTCAGAGTTCCTTGCCTTGTAAAAAGACTCTATATTAGAGGGTCCCAAAACATTGATTTTCATTTTTAAATTAGCAGGTTTGGGACATAAATTTATCGTAAGTATTTATATATGAAAGAGTTAAGCAATGTGCCAACAATACCTTGCATAAAGACTTATGATGGAGCCTGGCTGTATACTCAAATCCTTATTCAACTTCTTTAAAAGTCTGTAATATGATTCCTATTCTTAATTCAATAGGAATTCCTACATCTATTTAAATTTGCAAAATAATTACAGTTATTCCAGATCTAGCTCTACAGTTTTCAATGATTATCAATCCGGTACTAACAAATTAATTTGTTTAGTACATTTTATATATCACCTTCCATACATCGTGATGTGCATTACAGAGACAAAAACCCTGATATTAATGAAGACATTTTACCCTCTAATCTTAATTGGTATTATTTCTGTTTCTCTCATGTCTGTTCCTTCTTAGCATTGCTCCATTATGTGTTGCCTTTCAGAACATCTTGCTTTAAGCACCTATGTTTTATTTGGCTGAAAGAGTAAAAAGATCCCATCTTTCTTGCCTTTCAGTTGAACAGCCTGTTTTTAACAGGAATCAATCAGCTGCTTCCAGGTTAGAATAAGCATCCAGACATTTCACTGTTAGCTCTGAGGCCCCTGTGTGGACCCATTAACTGAGTTAAGTCCAAAATTTATATGGGAGATATCCCTGCAAGAGAGGCAGTCTGATCATATTTGCAGTTGTCAATGCAAACTCATTCTGTCTGACAAGATACACTCTCCTACACCACGGAAAGCTGAAAGCAGCTCACAATTTTTTTTTAACCTAGAGTGCATTTTAAAAACAGTTTAATTCCTGATAGATTAGTTCAGGTTAGTGTAGTTGTTCTGTAGGTTTTTCAGTACAAAACCAAGCAGAACCATACTCATTTCTTAATTTTATTTGCTTATATAACTTAACTGCAGACTTTACTTCAGAACAAGCTCTAGAATATATCTATTGCTTACAGTCCGCGATGCCCCTGCCTATTCTGAAGCCTGTCCCCAGAATGACCTTCCAGTGCACTTCTTGGCTCAAAAGAACTGACCACTCTTTCAGTTACAAATTACAGTATTAGCTATGACTGCTGCACTTGAATGACTGTGTGGTTGGCACAAACTCCACTCATGACAGTATGTTTATGCTAGGACGGTGATGCATCTAGAAGATAGATGGATGAGCCCAGAGAAGGTGGAGTTTAATGCCAGTGTGATCTAATCTTGGCCCATGCCTTGGCGGTTTTAGGTGGAGAGCAGGCAGTTGTCAGCAGTGGGAGACTTACTGGCTGCAATTTACAGGATGCCACTGAGGCAGCTGTACATTGTGAGCTCCCGTCAGCAGCTAAGAATAAGGGAGTGTAATTGTGGCGTAAAGCCATTTTCATCCTCAATTGTGCCCCTCATTTTTTCAGTCTTAATACTGTTAGAATATATATGGGATTCCAGGTAGTGCAAAGCAAGATGTTACACCATTATCTACTTCTGCTGATTTTAGATTTTATTTCAGTAAGCCTTATCTTGCTTTCCTTTATTAGCCCATCACACACCCCTGTAGTGCCAGTTGTCACTAGGTGCCGTCCTTTTCAAACTCTCACCCGCATCACTCAGACTAGACTGAGTGTACAGGAGGAGGAGAAGTTTATGTCCGACTCAAGAGACTCTTTAGAGACGTTACAGAAATGCACTTTTAAAAGTTTTGGCTATGCTGAAGTTAGTTCAGATAATGTAGCTTTTCTGCAATAATGTGAGGAAAAAGAAACCACACCTCTAACTGGCATAGCTGTGCTGGTGTACAAGCAAAAATACTCCTATTTGCTGATGTAGCTTATTTTGTTCAGCAAACCTGTATAAGCTACACTGTCTGGCAAAAAGAAAAAAAATAATCTTACCAGAATAAATGTCATCTTTATTAGTACTCTAATGACTGAATCAGCAACTTGTGACGGTAGATTAAGACATAATGACACATTTTGAGCCCTCAATTGCATTCATTCTTAGGTTGTCAAAATTGTATTATAACTAAAGCAAATATTAAATAAACTTGTTGCTGGTTTTAGCGCATATTAAATAGCATCATTTATTTGCATTTTAGAACAGTCTTAATTTTAGCTTTACTCTGCATATAACAGAGACTTCTCGTAACATTACATTGTCCATTCCATGTAGTTCTCCATACCGTGCCACTGTGTATGCTGAAGAATTACCATTTTGTTTATTCCTAGGATATACCTGTTCCCCTTGTTGACTTTTACTCCAATGGTTGATGAAAAAATCCTGATACACGTGTCAAATTCTATGCTTCTGTGGTATTTAAAATTATTTGAGAACTTTTTGTTACACAGTTTAGTTGGTAAAATGGCAACATTCCAGAGACTGATGCAACACTGACATTAAAACATGACATTAGATGACTGATCTCCATCTCTAATTTAATCTAAATCTTCCTGTTTACTAAAGAGGGTTCTCCTTCTGCAGCAGTTGTTAGTAATATTTTATTCTGTTAATTTGTACAGTCAGTCAATTATAATCATAATATTAATATTTATGTTAACTAAGAGCATTAATGCAGATTCTTTAGTCAAAAAGCTACTGAAACAGGCTTTCTTGACATTTCAATCTGTCATGTGTAAGCTTCATATGTCTCCCATTTTCTTTCCAGAAAGAAAAAGAAAGGGATCATACCTGTCAAAGGCAACAAAGTTCCTTAGAATCTACCATTATGTCAGATGCAGTGACTCCAGGGGTTATTTTCTCCCTCCTCAAAAGTAAGAAAAATGTGTGTGTTTATGTGTTTCCTATCTATGCATTTACAATACATAATTCTGTGACTTTTTCTGATCTACTAGGGCTCTTCTATACCCACATTAATGTATTTATCATATATAATGCAAAGCCTTTTTCTGATCTATTACTGTTTCTTCCATAAACTCCGTGTTATCTGAAGATCTATAAAGATACATACAATGCCATCATCAAACAAACAAACAAACAAAACAAAACACAAAGCCACTCAGAAGAATTTTCCTATCACACTTAGTGCACAATTGACCATCTACAAAAGGAGGAATTTTCACATTTCTTTGAAGTGTCTTCATGGCAGACTAGCTTGACTGGTCACAGAAAGCTATGGGTCTAAGCAAGTATGGAAATAAACTGACACAGTCATTTAGAAATAACTTGCATTTCCTGAAACGTTTATCATGGTCACTCATTTGACTTGCCAAAATAAAAAGAAGTAATTTTGCTCTGTAAGGAAAGAATGTTCATCATGTTTTCTCAAAAGAATATCTTCACAGAAAAAATAACTTCTATTTGACTATGGATTATCAAGAAGACAGGGTTTGCTAGAATAAGCCATTGAAATATTTACAGGAAACTTGCTTGCAAGTATTCCTGTTTCATTATAGTCAGGGCTATTTATTAATGGCTTCATGTAAAAATAGTGTTAGTGCTGTTCTGACAGGTCTGTTGTGGAGCTGCTTTTGGCTATTACTGTCAAATTTTAGATTACTGCAAAAATAAGAATACTATTAAGTGAGGAATTCAAGCTAGACCAAAGTGGACTTGTACTGCCACTATCCAGTACTTTTACATTGACTCATTTCTTGCAAACTTGTAATTCTAAGATTTTACTCTTTAATCAAACAAACAAAAACACTTGAAGTCAGAATTACCCAAATATCACATTATGCCTGACAAACATGACCCTCTTACAGGATAAGATAAACTTAATGTAGAAAAAAAAATATTCATATGCATGAATTCTATTAGTGCTCTCTGATACGGCTTATTCATGTAGAAAACTACTGGAGGGAAGAAATCACCAAGCATGCAATTTCAATGTGAGATGCAAAAGAAAAAGAAGTGTAAGTAACATCACTTCCCAGAAAAGATTCTAAGAAATAGATTGCCATCTCTAACACATCACAGTCTCAGGACACAAAGATCTAATTAATTAGTCTTGCTAACTGTGTATTGTTAGTACTGTGGTAGAATATAACTCTGAGGTGAGGTGTGACCAGACCTTGCTATCATTCTGGGATGTAGACTCGCTAATAGCTTTCATTTTCAGATGTTACGCCTGATGGGGAAGCCTCCAAGCACACAATATTTAAAAGAGAAAGGAAGATTGTAGAAAGCAGGGGATAGTGATGGTTCCCTGAAACAAGGGTGTGGAATTCAAAAAAAAAAACCAAAAATTCAGAATATTGGAGGCTGAGAAAAAAATATGTATATATCTGAACTGTTTTGATAGACATATTATAGAACCACTGTGAAAAATTGGGAATGAGGACAAGTTCATAAGACTGTACTCAATTGTCTGGAAAGACCATTTCCTTATATTTTCTTTGCTTTTTTTTTAATTGAATTGTGAGTTCTGTGCATGATAGCTGTATACAGGAGCATAAATAGATCAAAATGAGAGAGAATATTACTAAAATTTAAGGAGCTTCTTCTGCCAAAAATTATGAGGATGCCTTATTTTATAAATCGGTAACAATTCAGACCCTTATTTAGCTTCATTAATGCATTTGATTAAATGCTGATAAGAATGTTTCCACATTCACAAAATATAAAGCCTAAATGCTAGTTGGATGTTTCATGAATGTATTGAAATTGTTCAGAATCCTACTGGAAGTCTGGTTTATATGTCTAGTTGTATATTTGCACACTTACTACAAATATGAAAACCATTTTTCTTTTCAAGAAGAAAGATGTTGTCATCACAATGTATACGACTTAACCCTATACTATTTTAATCAGATTACCAGTACAATGAAAATTAATTTAATAGGATTTACTATAGTTAGAGGTAAGTATACAGTAATTTACTATGAAAAGAACACAAAAATGTTAGTGGAGCTCATTACAGGGATATTGTTTATGCTAATTATTCAAATTTTTAAAAATCACACTAAGCCTGATTTTAATCAGATTTGGTTGTGGTTTTTTAAAAATAAAAAACTTTAATGGAACAATACAACCCAGATTGGTTAGCAATAGTCAAATATGACTCTTGTCTGGGGCAGAGAGAAGTGGAATTAAATACAAACAGAAAAAAACTAAAGGACTACAAGCTACTCATTTTATTGTTCTGTCTGAATAAAAGATCAAATGAAAGAAGAGTATAAATGATAAAATAGTGATAAACAAGAGTTTCACAATGTGGATGAAGGCATCAAATTTGTGTTTATGGTTTTAAGCCTATAAGTGCTCAATATAATAGCTATATTATTATATACCAAATTTTCCTAAAAATCCGGTGTAGGGAAACCTACATGAAATTTTGGTGCAGATTGCAGATCTGTTTCCCAAGTGATTATACTGTTGTTAGATACTTGTCTCTTGTAACATCCTCCAAGATCATAAAACCTAAGATACAGGTAGGAAGTTAAAAAATGGAAAGCTAAACAAAAATGAAAGCTAAACCTAATAACAAAAGCTTTGATGCTGCAGGGAACTGTTTTTGTGAGTATCTGGGGCTTCACCTGGTGGAACAATCAGCTTGAATAGAATGGGTTGAAAGATTATTTTCTACAATGTCACTTTTACTTTTGTCAGTAATTAGCTCATGCCATGCCCTAGTGGCATGATATCATCCTATTGGAGACATTTGGTTAGATGCAAAATACGGTAGTGTGTTACAGTTTACATCTACAAAATTTTCACAAATCCAATATGACTATTTTCAAGAGAAAAATCTATTCATGCTGTTAAGTCTTGAAGATTCGGTCATTTAGTCACTGAATTTTTAATTTTAAGAAAACAGCAGAGGTAGCATTTGTAACATACCCGATAGCCACCCCATTAAGTATGTATGTGGGAGGGGTGTATTTATTTATAAAAAAGATAAATGTATGAGAGAGGTAAAAATCAGCTTAAAGGAACTCTTGAGCCAATGTTTAAAAGTTGTGTCAATTTCTGAGAGCCTAACTTCAGAAAATATATATGTCTGACTAGGTATCCCAAATTCTTGTTGAACTTTGTAAATATTGGTCCAGATGAATATAAAATATTTTTAATAAAATAATGTGATAAAGGTTTTGAATACGTCATTAAAATAATCAACAACTGGACCACATTCTTTCAGGAATATGGAAATTGAGCATATAAGACGTTTTTTCTCTTTAGTCTCCTTCAGGACCATCTAATACAAAACAACAGATCTGTTCATTCCAGATACTGGTATTTTTGAATATCAAACATGTATTTTTTCACTTCACTGACTACATAAGGGATTTACAATCCTCTATCTCTTTTTACTAACTGGTGTCAAGACTTTTCCAGACTCCAGTAAGTTATTTATAAACTCTAAAAATTCATGTGCAGATCAACAATCTTGCTACAAACCAGATTTTTGTAACAAATAAGCACTTTTCTGTCCTCTGCTTCAGAGAAGACACAATCAATTCTAGCTTCTCTTATACACTGCAGTTATTGCTACTTTTGGCATAGATGATCTGGCTCCAAATTTGCTGTGAGTAGACCAATTTTTTTTTTTTTTTTAATTGCCCCAGTATAAAAATAAAACTGCCTTTATGGCATTCCTGATGTTACACTATCAAATTGCATAAGGCCTTACAGCCGGGAGGAAGCACATGAATAGCAAAAGGGAAAAAGGGGACAATTAAACAACTTAATATTCTTCTCTTAACACAGAGCACAAAGTTTTGGGTTTGAGTTGTGAGGTGTGGTGTGTTTTGGTTGGTTGGTTGGTTTTAAGCAAAAGAATAAGATAAAGTAAGTAAGGCACTACTGAGATTTTGTCTGGTAAGGGAAATAGACTTAAACCATCTTTTGCTGTTATGGCAGTTTATATAACATTTTTTTCTGATCAGTTTAGCCTCTCTTAGTTGTTTTCAGACATTAAAATAACAGAAGTATGTACAGTACTGTTGTACAGGATTTTATTCATCCAACTTAAAATTGGTCATTGCATTAGTACTCTCTAATACTGAAACATTTCTACTTCCTAACATATTCCAAAGATGAATCAGCAAAAGATATGAAATTAAGTTATATTTTAATACACACTCTGTCCCTGCCCTTTGTTTGCCTGTTACTATTTAACGTTTTTGCTTGGAGCATCCAAAGAAAAAGCAAGACCCTGGTAGGGTCAGGTGTACTCAGCTGGCATAAAATAAAAAGTCCAAACTGAATTCATTATTTTATACCATGTGAGGGTCTGGTTGTGTAGTTTAGTCCATACGTTTCAGTGAGTGTTGGAAGCAGTATTTCTAATGAGTGTTTTCCTGGAGCTGTCCTGGATAGTACCTGTCCTGTGATCTGTCACGCTGTGATCTGCACTGCTACAATGCCAGCATACACCACGTTAACAGTTACAGTGTAATTACTCTTCTCAGTATAACCTACAACCTTTTTTTTCTCATTACACACTAGCAGGTTGGAGAGCTCACTTGCTCTCTTGCCAACCAAGCAATTTACCTACCATCTGCATGTGAAGAGCACCCAAGCAGTTATGAAACTGTCTGGTTCTTACTCAGCACTGTGTATTTTTGGGAGCTATTCACTAGCCCTCCAGTCTCTGGAGCAGCAAGGGAGGATGCAACAGAAATTAAAATAAAGCTGTTTTTTATTATTTTAGGTTTAGTTAGAGCCCTACTTTTTGATTCTATGAAAATTCTTCAATAACATACAAAGGACAAATTTTGAAGATTAACTGAATGAGCCATAAATAGAGATCTCTCCTGGCACCCTAAACATCTCTGCAAATCTGTTCATTTGATTGCAGTAGTGCAAACTC